TCTTCATTAATTTTTTATTAACGATTATTGCGTCATACATACATACCGTCTGATATATATAAAAACGCCATATTGAAATTTAATTAATTATTCATTTTCCAGTTAAAATTTCTGCACTTTTAAGTTTGCATCTTAAAATTAAAGCTTCAGACAAGTTTCTCGTATCAATTTTATTACGAAATTCTTCTTCATTAATTTTTTATTAACGATTATTGCGTCATACATACATACCGTCTGATATATATAAAGACGCCATATTGAAATTTAATTAATTATTCATTTTCCACTTAAAATTTCTGCACTTTTAAGTTTGCATCTTAAAATTAAAGCTTCAGACAAGTTTCTCGTATCAATTTTATTACAAAATGCTTCTCTATTAATTTTTTATTAATGATTAACACATCATATCAGACTAACGTTATTAATACATTTTTCATTAATTTTTTATTCTTATCTAATTTTTTTTAAAATATAAATATATACATTTAAAACGTTGTTTTCTCTCTTACTTTTCTGTATTAATTTTAATATGAAATTTTTTTTATTAATTATTTATTAATTAACAACGCGTCATATTATTTAATACATCGGAAATACTATATCAAAGATTAACTAATTAATCATTTTCTAATTAAAATTTATATACTTTTCAGTTTGCATCTTAAAGATAAAATTTTAAACAAGTTATTCGTATCAAGTTTAATGTGAAATTCTTTTTAATTAATTATTTGTTAACGATTAATATGTTATATGTTATATCAGATTGGTATTATTCATATGCAATATGTTTTTTTATTAATTTCTCATTCTTATAAGATTTAATTGTAAATATAATTATATGTATTTAAAACATTATTTCCTCTTCTATTTTCACATATAAATTTTATTTCTAATTTTATTGTGGTTTAAATGAATAAATTGATTATTCATTACTGGATTACGTAATGGAGATTTGCAGTTAACGTACATTATATGAGAATCATTAATAAATAATTAATGAGAAAGAATTTTA